CGGTCAAGACTCCAACTGAAATCCTCATTTCCAGTTTCACACGGTTACCACGCGTTCGCAAGAAAGTTCGACCCTTTAATGGAGAGTCGAGGCTCTAAAGGCATCGGAGCTCGGTCCCAAGATCTCTCGCCGGTTGAATGGAGCAAAGGTCTCGGAAGCAGGTTCATTACAAAGCTATAAACGCACGTTTGAGCGCCGTAAGGACGCGCGGCAATTACTTAAGAACTAATCAGCCGAAACCCGGCACGACGGCTGCTGTCCATCAAGAAATCATCGACCTCCTCGCGAATGGTTCTTTAGTTGCTCTTGTGGCAATTTTAGAATGCGCGGGCCGTTAGTGGACCTCTCCTGGTTGGCCCGCGTAATTAAAAGATCGCATGTTGCGAACATGAGAGCTGGAACCAGCTACACGTTTTCAATTGGACTCGCGGAAACGTCGGTTCTCTGCATTCGCCGAAATAGAGCAAGTTTAATTTCTCTTGGTGCGAATTGCATCCAAAAAATTCGTTGATGCATTGGCGCATTGGTTCTTTGGTGCAATTTTATGGTGAACTTTGAAATAGAACTTTACAGCGCCGTCTAGTTCGCGTGGCGTCACTAGTCTGCTCTTTGTCTTTTTCATTAAAGTACCAAGTCGTTTCATCGACAATAACAATAATGCATACATCATTGGTACATTACAATGATCTACAACTTAGTTTCTCTAGCTAGGGTACCTCGGGATCGCTAAGCCCGTACTGTAGCTGCGTACTCGCATGATACAGCCCCTGAGGGCAGCACTAGTCTGTTCTGGGTCTCTCTGCAGCGCCACTAGTTGGCATATTTGCCGTGTGCTGATACTATTGCGGTCCCCAACCCTGGTCTAGGGTATTATTACAGTTGCTGTCTGATTAGAACAATTCTTACTAGGACATCGTAGACTAAGAGACACGCGAAAGTCGTTAGATTTGACGGAACGTGGTTCGCGCAGTTGAAGGGTCGTTTGGGGAATCGCGGGGCCCGAGAGATCGGAGCCTACTCCCGCTGAACGAGAGCGAAGCTGACAGTCGAACGAGTAAAGCCCGAGAGAGAGACTGACTAAAGTATAATCAGGTTTCGACTGAGTCCGCGGCCGCGTGTAATAACAGTAATCCCTTCGTTCGTCGGTAATTTGGCTGTTCGCTCAAAAACTCCAAATTATAGAAGCTGCTGTCATTAGGCCGCGGCGGGCACAGTGTATCGCGGGGCCACCTTCTTCCCCGAACCCTCGGGAATTTTTGGGAAACTCAGCCCCGCGTTCCTCAACGTGGATCGTTAGCGATCAAACGCCTCCCTGGCCGTCAGAAAGACACTTTCCATGAGGACTTTTAGCGACGTAGTCGTTCCTATTCCTTGGCGATCTATGGTGATGTAAGAATCCTTGGATCAACGCAAAAGCACTTGAGATAGATGCGCCTAACGTCGATGCTGATGCCTGTGAAGCAGTGTTTAGTTGCTTCAAACATAGAGGACACGAGGAATGTTCCAATGTTAAGGAATCATCTTGGACCATGGACTCTATGGAGTTCCTCTCCGAGATCCAGCAATCGTGATCCAAACAAGGATTCAAGTTGACCCCAACTGCGCCCATAACAAAAGAGCCTAACATCCACTTCCCAAGTCCAAAGATTGGCTCCAAGCTTCAACTCTGAAGTTTCTTTAGAACTCTAAGACGTAACTACTAACGAAAACGAGTCCCTACATTGAACACCTTCTTCCAACAAGTCGTTGGAGGTGAAAACCGAATGTGGAGCGCAAGGAAACGGACAGAAGATCCGCGTCCTTAAACGTACGTTCGCCTAGGACCAGTAACGCCCGAGGGAAGGACTCCTTGGTCCGTAGGAGGTGAAGGAGAAGCGGAGAATGAACCAGACAGATCGCCGCGGGCCACGCTCCGCCGGATAGGTCCGTCTCGTTCTTTCCCCGCTTCTTTATCGTATCAAAGGGAAGAAGCTGGGAAAGAATGAGAAGAGAATCGTCGACCGTACGCCTCGAAACACCGTTTAAAACTCCATTACGCCCGTTCGTGATCCTCGTGATCACGACGTACGTACGTACGTCTGCGTGGAAGCTTCGCGTTCGAACAGCAAACGGACCCGTCGATCGTCTGACGTGACACGTGCCTGGATCCACGAACGATCGAACGTTCAGGGAGATCCACCCCCAACATCCTTTGTTTCCTCCACGGAGCGACGAGGCTCTGAGCGCGAAATAACTCAAGGAATTTAACTGTACGCGTTCAAGATGTCTCGAGAGAGGTAATTTCTGTTATTTTGAACGATGGATTCGAAACTCTAAGTAAATTTGTATCCGATTACTTTAGACGGTCGGTATTTGGTGGTTCTTTTCTAAGGAGTGCCTTCTCATGGTATCAGATGGAAGGGGTGGGATTAAATCACGATGCTAATCGGCACGTGGGGGGATTAAACAATGCAAAATCGACGCGAAAGAACTGGGAAGTTTTTTGAATTTAAAGAAATTGTACTCCGCCACGTTACTCGCGGGAAACATAGGAGGGAAACGATATTTCACTCCGCGCGTCACAAGTGCGCGACATATCCGCGGAAAAATATACATAATACGGCGCGAGGCGAATATCGACAAATGTAAAATACATTCGAGTAACGTGAGTCGTTATAATAAAGTAACACTGTTGGTTCAAATTTCCCTATCGGTCGATTATGTCACGCGTCCTTTTTATGCACCTTATTCGTGCTCCTGTCATGAATATGCATGTCCGTTTATCGATAAACAATCACAATTATAATTGTAAAACTCGGCAGAACAACTCCCCCTCCACGACGCCCCTGTACTCGATACCATCTTCGTTATTCTGAACATCAATCGATCACGTGGGGAGTCGTGCAATTCAGCATTTCTGTTTCGCTACCTTTTAACCTCGTTTGGAACCAATGGTTCTCGGTATTTTGAGTACATTTTTATGCAGTTTTAAACTAGGTTCTTCTAGATACCTTAACCTCCAGTTTTTGAAAATTTCTCTAAACAAAACCTCGAGAGAGACTTCGCAATTTCCACCGAGGAGCTCGATAAGGTAGCCGCCGTCCGCGATGAAAAATAAAAGAAGTTAACGTTGATTCTGAGTATATCTTAGCTAATTACGAGCAACGTATGCAAACGATTCGAGTAAAGTTCAGAGGGATATTCCTTCGCCAGAGGTTCTGCCCTCCCCGCAGCCGCCCCGCAATCAGTGCCGCACTCCGTCTCTGTCAGCTTAGCACCGGTTATCCCCGGTCTATCTTTCTCTTGATGTATCGAACATTACACGAGTGTATGTATCGTATGTCCCGCGCGCTGGCGTCCATATTTATGCGCGTCTGATGTACCCGCGTGCGCAGAGCGTCGCGTTCAAGCGCGCGTGCACTAGCATTTCCGTATACGGGCGGGCAAATTAAAAAATTGTGGGGAATGGACCCTTTCCTCGAGTGTCCTTTCAAGAGGGCGGGAGGTTCTTGGTTGAATTGAACCCTTCTTATAAAAATGGACATTTTATGTGAAATAACCTAATACCATTCGTTCCCAAGGTTTACCTCCCTTTCTCCTCTGTTAACAGTGTGAATATCTACTCACATAAGCTCGAGAACGCACGGACACAGCCTCGTGTAAGCACGCGGAGGAGCAAAAGAAAAGGCAAAGTTCCCGGAGCGTGCGAGATCGTCACGAAGGGACCAACCGGCAGAGATTGCCTTAATTTTTCAAGTGTCCGCGAACGATATCCCGGGCAACGAACATTCAACACCGAAGCGAGAGTTTTAATTGCCCGTAATCTGATGGGTTTCTTACCTTGCGCGAGGTTAAGCTCGAAACTTCGCTTCAACCTTCGGGCACGGACGTGCACCGAAGCAGCTTGGGAGTAGCAAATTGTTTTCAATTCTATAAGGTGGACTTCTAGAATAGTAAGAATGTAGAATCACGCTTTTCCGACGGATGACTGGAAAGCAAGAGCTTTGACAATTGATCCTTCACGGAACGTCGTTCCCCTGACGGCTGTCATGCTTGTCAAGCGCACAGATTATGCGCAGAACGGTTTGCAACAGCAACTCATTTATTTGTAACGATCGGGAGCGTACAGTGTGCGCACACGGTAGGAACTTGCAATCGGAGTTGACTCCAAAGACAAACAACGGTTGTTAAAAAGTAACGACGCTAAATGCTGTGTGCAAACTCCGTCTATAACCCTGAGATTAATGCTCCGTTCTGAACGTAAATATTACAAGACGTCCTTAATGACGAGGCAGTAAGAAAATTTCAAAGGAAACGACTGTCCCGTCGCGATCCCAAAGTCGTCAAATATTCGAGACAAAGTTTCCCCTAGCGGAGTTATACCTTGCTGCTATAATGATGAATCCGCGGACGAGCACTATAAGTAACGACTATAGACATATGGTCATAACACATTAACACATAATCGATGGAGTTGAATGCGAAAAACGATCGTCTATAAGCTGTTCGAGAAGCGAGTGGGATGAAATAGTGATGGATCCACATCGTGTGCGTTTCACGCGCTTCAATCCCCCCACCCTATGATCCTATTAGCGTTAGCTTTAGACGCATGAATTTTGTATACGCCGCGATACGATACTTTGTGGCTATCGTTCTCCTCGAGGGCCAATTAGCGCTCCCCTTTGTTTTCCTTAGTAAACTATAAGAAATCTAAGTTTTGCACTCTTCGTAAACACCGCTTGGTCGTATGCATTAGGAAGTTAGGACATGAGATTTTTACCAACGGGTCCAGCATTTCTTTGGAGTGGGGGGTGGTAATTTATTCCAGGGGGTTGTAGACATTAGGCCCAAGTTACGAGGAGTATGAACATTGTCGAGTGATTCCTGCTGACCTACGAAGGCTTAACTTAATACAGCTTTGGTATTGGGGGCTTCATACTGGACGCAATTTTCGCTCGCGTTTGCGCAGGACGAATTGTACCAGAAGGTACTGGAAAAAAAACTGTAAGAACATTGCCAACCTTTTTCCGTTCCGACGTCGTCTCTTGGTGGCATAAACGGTTCCCAGCTGGCTCATGGCTACCGGGTTGTTGGGTCCCGACGCCGTGGTCGGTGTGGGCACCGGCGCCGAGGTGGGCGTCATCGCGGGATCAACGACGTGGGGCTGAGGGTGAGAGGTGGCCAGGGCGAGCTGAGATCCCGGGGGATAGCATGCCGCCGTCACGTAATCCGTCGCCGCCGCGAGGGACGCGCTCGCTGGTCCACAAATCCCAGCGACCACCCCCGACACTCCAACCCCGACGGTGCTCCCGCTACCGCCGCCACTTCCCCCTCCGTCTCCTCCACCGCCAGCGACACTGACGACACCCCCAACCACCCCCAGCCCCGCCGAGGCGGTCCTGTCCAGCGCGTACACCGTGCAGACCGTGACGCCCTTCGTTTCCGCCGACGCTACGTCATCGTCGTCTGTCGCTGACGGCTCGACCAGCTGCTGGCGTCGAGCTTTCGACTCCCGATCCCAGTGCTGGGCGTCGGGACAACGCAGCTGCGACAGCTGTTCCCTGAAAAGGTACACCTCTCTGTCTGATTCGCGGGAAATCGGAGAATTCGTATAGAGGACAGCTTCGATGAGACAGGAACCAACAGCGTCGATTGGTTCACGTTCGACGACGGTTACGGCTGATAGACGTCGGCCTGTTCCAATCGCGGCAACGTATCACTGACACCTTTGCGTTCGTTTTCGCACTCGTTCGTGTCAAATAGAAATTTCACTTCACCATTGGTTACGCTCGATGACAGTTACGGTTCGATGACAGCAACGCCGCGCGCCAGATTTTCTACCCGTCGTGTGTGTCTCACTCACTCGTGTCACAATCCGACAGCTCGTTAGACGTAATTCATTGGAACTTTTGCCCACTTTTGATGCACCGACAGTTTCGTACCACGTGGGATCACCGGCCCACGGGAACTCATCTTCAAGCCCGACGAAATATCCCTCGCGTAATCTTCCGAACGTTGGTAACTCGAGTTCACTGTCACTAAATAGTCGATCACTTTTCTCGTTCCACGTACTCGTGGACACTGAGCAATGTCACCGCACCACCGATCACGATCCCGTTTCGATCGTTTTCGGGTTCCATCGAGAGTCGCAACAGCGCGACGCACTCGTCTCGTTCGACTCGACGTGTTCACCAGGGATCTATTCTCTTCTCACTCAACTTGTCACGCACTCTCACTGGTATCCTTCTATCTATTTTTTCGTCACTCGGTGCTACGATCGCGGGGTTCACATTCACGATCACGTGACACGGGGCTGCGCAGCGCGAGGATACGCGTCGACGCGACTGTCGGTACGCGAGGCGTTCGAAACGCGCTTCTCGATCGGATCGCGTCACGTGCGCGCGGAAACTGAACCCACCGGCGCTCGCTCCCCCCCTTCGCCCACAGCGACGCTCCCCCCTCCACAGGTAGCCGTTTCCCTCTCCTGGCGGACACTTTTTCCCCGCGGTGACGCGTTGCGCGAGAAAAACGCAGATTCGCGAGCTGAAAGCTGAGAGGCAGAGACAGACGCGGAGGCGAGAGCGAGCACGGAAAACCCGGTGCTCGCTTGGTAGAAGCGTGTCGTGCACTGGCGACCCCGACGGGCGTAGCATAAGTCAGGAGACCGTGGCATAGATTGGAACGGGCCGGTAGTGGTGGTGGTGGACTTGCCTCCTCGTCAGAGGAGTAACCTCGATGCGATCGTCGGGCAAGCCGCCACCTTCTACCCCAGTCCTGTACGGAATTGCTCCTGGGAGCGAGGCAGCTTCCCCCACTCGGGCTCCGTTACGACTGTACACAACGATAGTTCGCGATGCCTGCTGCATGTGTATAGGCTCGATACAAACGCGATACAAGTCGAAAGGTAGGGGGACAAAACCGCATAAGGGGCTCCACCCGTGGCCGGCGCTGTTCGAACCCCTGAAGCACTCGCGATCCCTTTCCTCCTCGTTGGCCACACCCACCGCGAGAGCTAGGCGGCCAATCGGGAAGCCAGCATGGCGCTAACAAGCCCAGCCCTCGCCGCTCGCGAAGATACCATCGTGCGCGTTAAACGATTACACCTATTCCACCGGTGGCCTGCCGTCCTCGTCTTGCTCGCACAATGCTCCTACGCACATGCAAGCCCTCTCTGTCTCTCTATCTTGGGGACGCACACGGACGAAGACGAGAATTTCGTTGGTTCTATTCGATGTCGTTGGCAATATCCCGACGAGGGCTGCTTGTTAAGTTCGATGATCGTCCTGGTTTATCCGTGGATCTCTGTCGAGTTCGCGATGGCTGCGGGCTTCTGATGAGGTTGGATGGTGTCGATTTATTGGTGGATCCTTCACGATGGACATAGAGGATACATTCGGGTGCTGTAGATCTTCGAATGAACGATAAAAGTGTTCAAAACAGGAAGCTTAACACTGTATTATTTTCGTGTGGCGAAGTAAAAGTCCTAGTCAATGGCGAACCAAGGATTTTGGAATGGCTAACGGGGTTTGGTGAAATTTTCACTCTGTATTTTGTGAACTGTGCTTTGTGTGAAAATAATTTGGTGTTTAACTATTTTCTTCCTTAAAATTACGCAAATTATTTATGGACAAAATTTCGAAGAACTTGTACGAGCTTGTAACCATGTAAAAACGTCGTTTTTAAATTGGGCGTCTTCATTTTACTCGCTAAATCACTTTTCTGAATATTCTGAATAATAACATTAATCTTACTCTAACAGTCGTAGCTCGGAGATGTATTAAATAATATATGAGCCTTTTAATGACTATTGATTGCTGTTACTTACATTCGCACATAAAAATGGAATATAGAACAGAAACAGAGAATAATTTAACGATCGCCGCTATAATTTTCATAGCGAGTAGATTTTTTGTTAGCATTGCTTCGATGCACTTTACTCAGTGTAAAAAATTAGCTTAAAACATTACAAACAATGTTCGCAATCAAACTTTTTGCTATTAATGTAAGTTCATTGACTGATGTTCACTGAAGTCGCCCGACGGAATGTGGAATCATATGCAATTGCTTGAATTCACTATAAAAACGATACATTAGGTAATACATTATCTAGTGTAATGATATGTACGTGTAGCGGTAGGTATACTATTCGAATGATTTATGTAGAAACGAGTATTCTCGTTTGATATTTAGATGATATGCAGGTGTGGTTATTACCTGGCGGTTCCACAAATTTGTTGAATCACATTAAATCGAATACTAAAACTGAGATGTACTTATATGTTTCGCACTTTTCACAAACTGTATCTTCTAGTCATTGATAATCACTTTGCACCAATTAGAAGTAATTTCTATGTTTCTCCACGCAGCGACCAATATGGCGGCCACTGAACGTCGTAAAAAGATGATAAGCTGTATTAACCGACGATTTGGTCACAAATTTAGAAAAAACCAGTCACATTGATATCACACATAATACACCATTTTAGATTACATGAATCATGTCAATTAACACTTCACGTTGTTCATAATTATTAGATTTAATCAACTTCGCTGCAGGCTCTAGCATGCACTTACCCTTTTAGATATATTAAATGATAGCTAATTCATCGCAGCCCACTCGTAAAGCTTACTGATAGCTGGGTTTTTTCATTTGCCTTTATTATTATTATTTGTTCAGGCAGGATAGGCCATATATCAAAGCAGCACGAGGTCTTCCGAGAGTGCTAATAGTATATGAATTTTTGTAAAATTGATGTAGACACAGTAGTCATATTGGAGACCTTCTGAAATAAGTCTTATTGACCCACACATGAAGCGAAGAACATTCACAGTTAAAGGTTTGAATCACACACAGCGTCACTTACGCTTAAAACACCTTGGTATCCACACTATATTGACTGTTTTGTATCACTGCAAAGGAATCCAAAACCATCAATCCAACACTTTAGGCTTCTCCATAAGTCTTGTTAAGACTTGGACAACACATAAAACAACAAACACCACAAGTCTACGACTTCCATCTCACATCTTACACAGCATCACTTCCACTTAAAACACCTTTTGTCCACGCTACATGGTCTATCATCGCAAAGGTGTCCAGAACGGGATCGCCCATGCGAGTTTCTCTTATCCAAAGAGTTTTCTCTTCGTGAGCGTTATCAGATGGCGAGGCACGATCGACATCTCCCATATCATGGCATAAATGCCGTCCCACGACATGCCACGGATATCAAAGGCGACAATACAGTTCGAACTCGACCCCGCGATCGAGATCGACGGGCTGACGTTGTACACTTTTTTACCCTCGGCAATCACCGAAGCTGATACTGCCTCGAATCCAGCGGAAACGCGGATCACGACCAATCGAAACGTCTCGGTGACATGCGATTCGACGGTTGTTTTATCTTCGTCGTTTTAGATCGCCACGATAGCCTCCTCTGTCGCGAGGTAAGTAGTTTCTGTTGTTCCCCGTGGTTGTCGTTGGCAGAGGAGCAAAGTTCGATCGGCGATATACGCGAAAAGCGTTACAGAACCGTTTGCGATGTTCCATCGCGCGCGAAACCGAGGTTGCACGCGAAAGACACATATGGGGGATGTCCCGATGACTGTCGGGACTGAATCCTCCCTTTTGAGCCATGTCTGACACGCTTCCCTCGACGATGCGGCCGTGTTTCGAAGAGGGAAACAGCGAACTTTGTGAATAACTGAACGACCTCTGTGTTTCTCAGTTCCTGGTCGCGATGGGACCAATTCCATGGCGTATTCATTTGCACGTATCAATGCCCACGCATTCGAGGCATGGAAAAGGTACACGATCTTTATTCTTCTGTTGTTCCAAAGAGATCATCGAGATTTACTCGATCGAATACCCTCCATTTCGGTGAAAAATTCTGTGCTGCGAATAGCATGTCCATCTATCATTCAAGTCTAGTGTGCTTCGATTAGACAATTAGTGTAGTTTCGAGGCTATAAGTCTGTATCACTGGAGTGACTTAATCCACCCCCGGATTAGCCACACCAGAGGAGCGATGATCGCAATAACTAGCCCTTTTTATGCTATTAGATTCGTGTCATTGAGTCACGTAGTGAAAGACTCTATTCCAACTCCCGTCACACTGTATGGACGTTTCTTTCTAGTGATGGCATGCATAACATCATCAGAGAATTTATGTTCTTCTTCACAAGGGTGGCTCTTCGTTTCTCCCACTCACGGTGGGAACCACGAGGAGGTGGCCACTTCCTAATCACATCATTAGACCTGATCTCTCTAGATGTCATGATTACTCCCGTTATTAC